GACAAACTAAAGGAGGAGTATCCAGCTTTGGTCAATAGAGGTCGGGTTTTGTTTCAGCAATATAATGTGTGGCCACACACTGCCAGGTTGACTAAAGAGAAGTTCGACCAGATGGACGATGATGAGATTCTTCCACATCCACTATTCAGTCCCGATGCTGCTCCGAGTGACTATGGCCTATACCGCTCAATGGCACACTTTCTCTGCGACCAGCAATTCAACACTTTTGATGAAGTGAAGGAAGCTTGTTTACAGTTTTTTTATTTAAAACCAGGGGACTGGTATCTGGGACAGATTCAGATGTTGGCTGATCACTGACAGAAGACCGTTGAGAAAGATGAACTTTATTTTAAAGAATAAATGTTGGTGTTGCTTTATGAAATTTTGTTGTTTTCTTTCCGCTACCTAAGTTTGTCGGGACTTTCTGGCCAACTTAATACAATTAACTACAAATCAGAAAGTGTTCTGTTGAAATGTATAATAAATGTGAACAAATCCCATAAAAATATGTGCTTATATTTTCTTGCTTTAATATACAAAGCACGTTAACTGACGTTGACTCAAGGAAATAAATAAAATTGTAATAAAATGCAACTGCTCAAAATCACTTAACTATATTAAAAATCAAATATGATTCAAGATGATTTTGATTAAATGTATCAACAAATGAATGAGGTTTAATCAAAATAAAAATCAAGTAACATTTTAGAGAAAATTTTTCATAAAATGTTCAAATTTTTATTAATGGAAAATAAATTAATAAATAAAACGTATAATTTTTATGCTTCTTGCATTAATGGTATTTTTTACAATGTTGAACTGATTATTTTTTAAGTAGAACTCGATCATCAGAGTTAGCATGAGGAGGAGCAGGACACAATTGGAAGAATCTTTGTTGAGGCGCCAAATTCATAGCTCAAGTCTTCGTAGAATATTTTACAGGTGACCTACATTTTTTTAAAGTTTGAAGCGACCCCCAAAATTAGAACGAGATGAACTTGATAGAAGAATGAAATCTTTACATCCAAAAAATGAAAAAGAGATGTTAGAGTCATTGAAAAAAATGGAATCAATTATCAAACTCATACTTTGAAAAACTTCTGCAAAAAAAAAGTGCTGCAGTAATCAAGGCTAAAAGAGGATATTTTGACGAGAGCAAAATTTAATCATAAAATGCTCCTTTTTTTTTCTTTTTGTTATAATAAAATTTTTAATAAAAATCATGTCTCACATTTTTTTAAACCATGTATAATAATTTTCTCTTATTTAAAGTACTTTTGGAGCCAATTCAAAAAATTAGCAGGGGTTTCCTCAAACATTTGAACTGTAGTATATATTTACATATTAATCATTTTTAAGTTTTTCAGAGAAATAAATTTTGACATTGTTCTATAATTTACATATTTTTTACTGAACTTGAATTAAAGTTGAGTAAAAAAATTAAAATATAGACAAATATAAATAGATCTTAGGGATTTTTAAGAATTCAGAAGAAAATTAAAACAGTTGTTGTTATCTGTAAATCGTGCAATATGGTGTAAGTGTATGTTTCAACGTGTTGTATTTAACAAGACTAGATAATGCTAGTGTGAAACCTTTTAGGCACGAAACCTAATTGAAAGAAATAATTCTGGTCCTGTACATTGCTATTATACATCCGTATATTTAACTATAACTAATATCGGATTTTATTTCTATAATTAATACCGGGTTTTTCGGTGAATATTAGTGGATTAATTAGAAGTAAAAGTACTGACTTGTTAATTAGTTTAGCCAAATTTAAAATAAAACTAAATTATGCCTTTGCAAGCTAAAACCCAAATATTAGTGGATAAAACATTTTCTAGTAATAAATTCCTTTTCATATGAAAACGTCTTTTGATAGTGATGCAAATAGAAAGAAAGCCAAAAATGTAACATTAGTGAATTTTTAAAAATCTCATGTCTCCTCAGGACGTTGGCTATCATGACTCTTCATGGGTTTCTTTTTTTATGATTTTTTAATTCCCACGACTTCTTGAGAACACAGAGAAGTGGTTTTCCGCCGTTGACTTCTCCACCATTTTGAATTCAGAATAGTTCTCCTAAGCTGACATAGAGACTCTAGTCTACTTTGTTATTTAACCCTTATCTAGGATTGATTGATTTGTTTTTGTCTTTTTTTTACGGTTTACCAATCTTTTGGGAGGATATTTGCGCGTAAGTGAATATAACGAACCTAACTGGAATTGAAACCCTGCCACCCGATTGCCAATTACATCCATTATATCAGCCGCACTTCTAAGCTTGCTCATCTGGTGTTCCCAAGCTGTCATCCATCTCGGTACTGACCAGCTTCGACGTTGCTTAATTTCGATGGGATACGACCGTAAGCCACACATAGGAAGGGAAAAGCGAATTCACAGAACAAAAATGAACGCAACGAAGTAGGCGGGAATTTGAATTCGCTTATTCCATTCTTCGCGCTGATAACCGTTACATTTCTTCAATGCGCCATGTCCCTTTAGGACGTTGGCGATCATGGATCTCCGCAACTTTTTATCCTTCGTGGTCCTTAACAGTGTGTATCCCTTTGCCAAGCCTCCCGCGACCTGTTCCCGCCATTCATTCATGCAGTTTCTTCAGCTAGTTCACCCGCTGCCTTCCCCTATTTCGATATACCCAGTGAGGGTTATATTTTCCAAGCACTTCTTCCTCATTATGTGTCCAAGAAATTCCAGTAATATTTGTCTGATGCTGAATATAAATGTTCATTTGTTAACATTATTTTTATTACTACATTTCACTAACATAAATATAAAAAACAATACAAGTGAATATTTTAATTAAAATGGATCATTTTCCAATTTCATTTTTTAGATATTAACTATAAAATTAAAATCATAGAATTGTCTTGTAAGTTGTATGGTATACATTTAGTTTCAGACAAATCCAATTTTTATGAATAGTAAAAGTTTGTGCTTTATTCATACATTGATTGATTGGTTGACTGGTTAATTGATGTTCACGTAAGCGAATGTGTGTTTAAATTTTTGTGAAAAAAATTCTGAGCAAATTCAGCTTAGGATTAATTTTTTTGTTTTTTGTTGGATATTCATTCTTTATTTACCATTCACTTTTCTTACTGACATCTATAAAACGATGCTTCGACAATTGAAAGTAAAATAAAATAGTTATTGATTGAAAAAAAAGTTTGGGTTTTTGTGTAAGTGCAAAATAGAGAATTATGTTACGTCCCCCTCCCGAATATACGCCCTCCACTCTACTACATCTCAATTTTCACAAGATAGTATTCATATAAAATACAAATTTTATTGTAACCTAATTATATAATAGATTATATGCAATATAGGTGAACAATTCAACTAGAAAAATTGAAAATAAATATAATGTATCTAAATACAAATTAGAGATATGTCATAAATAAATGAACAATTTTTCCGGAATTTTTTAGCATCAATTTGAAATTTTTCTTGTTAAAAAGTTGAATAATTTAAACAGAGTCAACATTATGGATAGAAAATAGTGAATTTTATATTGAGTGCTTTCTTGAGACTTTTAGCATGAGCAAAACCAATTCACGGATTTGGACGAAAAAAAAAATGGAATGACGTCAAAATCTACGAAGTTTTTTCATTTTTTAACCCTTCAGTTTTACTTAGTTTAATTTGTAATGTATATAAATGTAGGTAGAAAAAAAGTAAATGTTGATAAATTAGCGAGGGTCACAAAATACTGTCCGGGACCCCAAATCAGGCTTGGTTCCTTCCCGGTCGAGAGGTTCCGGGGTAGAACGTACCAGACCTGAAAATAACATGAACTGGTTAAACGGATACGTTTTAATTTTAAATTACATCAATTATTTTATCTTTAATCAGAATAGAAATGAATAAACGAAAATATTTTTTCACTGATCTGAAAATAATAAAGGAGTAAATGAATTAAAATGATCATTTTTCCAGTACAGTAATTTTCCGATTAGCAAATCCACTGCTTTGTAAATCAAGCGAGAGACTAGGAATAATAAAGAGAAATTGTAATTGATTTTTTACCTCATAGCAGCGCATATCCATAAATCTCTTATAATAATCATTCGATCTGATAATCCATCCCATCCAATAAGTAGATTCTCCTCATCGTTTCTACATTTTAACGGATACTGCTGTTAAATTCTTTCCCTTCAATCGAACAACATGGTAAAAAAAGACAAACAAACAAATACTTAGGGTTTCACATCTTCTGCATCTTAAAAATAAAAATAGTGTATAAAGATTGTAATTGTTGTTATCATCTGCCTGAGTTGTCTTTTCTTTTTTTCCTTTTTTTTAAAGAAATTTATCTCCAGAACACGGTCTTCTTTTAAAAAAGAAATGCAGGTGAATAACTACTTAAACTCGAATTGATATTTACCATTTAAAAGAAGAAACAAGGTCGGCAATTTTCAGGTTATAACGTTCAGTTTGGGCCAGTAAGTTCTCCATATCTTTTTAAAATTGTTAGTTACAGACAGCCTATGTTGATTTGAACAGGAAAATAAAATGAATATTATCCTGGTCATAGTTTTTGGAGTACCCTCGACGCACCTCCATTCCCACCTGTAGACTATTAACAACTTGAGTTTTGATAGGATGCTCCACCGAGTAAGTAAATAAAAAGTCCGGCAATGACAATGTGATAGTGGTGTTGCTATAGTTGCGACGGTCTTGGTTGTGTTTTTCAATCACCATACGCTACCGCCCCTCTGCTTATCCCTACCCTTGGCCAAGAATGATCACCTTCAAAGGTTGGCTGGCTGGTTAGTTGGTTGGTTGGTAAGAGAAAAAAAGATACAAGAAACGATAAGTTTGTTTGATAAGGACACTAATTAGTACATAAGTACAATCTTTTCATGTGGGTGTCAGATTTGCAAGTAGACATTTTATCTGATAACGAACACATTTCATAAGTACATGCCTTTGCTACTGATCGTTGACAAGTTTATATATATTTCCCTTATGCACATGCCTCATGCAAGAATAAGATAGATAGATAGATAGATAGATAGATAAAAAATCTCGCTTTGAAAAAAAAATAAAGCCAAAGAATTTCGTTGATAAGTCCGAAAACTGCGAATATTTTATCGACATGTGTCTTCTTTATTGTAAATATTTCAAAATTTATTCACTGCATCTTTGTGTCTACATCCTTTCCTAAAATGTATATTCAATTATTATCTCCAGTTATTATCAGCTACTTGACATCATGATTGTTTTCCTCGGAGCCAAAAACATCCCCTGGTCCGTGATTACCATCGAATTTGATCGATTGGCTTCCTATGGTGTGGACTATGACTTCCACTAGTGAAGTTGATAGGAAATAAATAATCGTCTGATGCCGGTCGGAGATTGGTTGTGGTTATATTGTCCAATCAGTTTTATCAATACAGTGTATAAAACATTTTCATTTTACATAGATTCAGTATAAAAATTGTGTATTATTAAAATTAAAAATATTATTTTACATAAAAAGCAAAAAAGTTATTTCTGCTTTCTTTCCCTCGTTTTCGTATGTGTCATGAAGCGCTATTCTAAACTTTCTCAAAAGAGGCAAAGAAAACATTTCCCATTTTGTTATTTACTTTTAGTTTTGTTGCACATTAAAATGAATTTGAAACAAATACTATTGAAGATTTCTCAATTGTTTATTTTTTATTTTAATCGAAATGCAATTGTTTTATAAAAATTAATTTAAACATTCTGTTGATAAAATCTATCTTAAAATATAGACATGATAACAGATATAGTGGGACATATACAGGGTGGGTCAAAAGTAGGCTTACATTTGTTTCGCTGTTTGTTTCACGTTTTAGATCTAATTTATCCAAATCATAACTGTTCTTTCAGCAAGACGGATCACCTCCCCCATTTATGCTTTGGCAGTAAGGGTCTACCTTAACCAAACCTTTCCACAGCGTTGGTTCGAAAGAAGGGACAACATCGAATGGCCACCACGTTCACCTTGCCTAACACCAATGAATTTCTTTTTTTTTTTTTTCTTTTTTTTTTGTGGTGGCGGGGGTGTAACAAAGAACAAGGTTTATGAGAGAAATCTCCACACAGTGGACGAATTAAAAGAGTACATCTTAGAAGTATTTGATGCAGATCGGTTTTTGTGTCATGCTTTGTGTCATAGTGTTCTGGAGAGGCTCGAGGAATATTGTAATGTTGAAGGGGGACATTACGAGTACTTAAGAGATTATTAAATTGTGCAAAAAAATGTAAGTAAAGTGTTAAACAAATGTACAGTTTTGAACAAATATGATTGTAACAAATAAATATAAATGTAATAAAATGTTTTTAAAAATGTAAAGTGCATACCCACTAAGTGTAAGCCTACTTTTGGCCCACCCTGTATTTATCTCCTATTACAACAAATAAAACTCCTATCGGTATCTTCCGTTGGCTTCCCTTAGCAAATACCTTCCCTCAGCAATTCTTTTAATTGGCTACTACAAACATCGGGCGCGTGTAATATTTTTCAACACATTTCTTTTTTTCTGATTTATTCCCAGAGTTTCCTTCACACACACACACACACACACACACACACACACACATGCATTGAATAGCTACGTAAGTGAAAAAAATACACCGACAATGATCAAGGAAATCTAATAAAACGTGTTGTCATTTGCTGTCATATATTGTTAGTTACAGCCAAGCGTGCGTGCACGCGCGCGGACACACACACACACACACACATATATATATATATATATATATATATATATATATATATATTGACTGAAAATCATTGTTTAGACATGTGTCGTTTTAAATACTACAGAAAATTTAAACAACCAATCTTATTGTTAAAAATAATGCAAATACCCCGAAATTTCTTCTAACCCAGATCATAAATGTAGTATACACGTTCTCCAGTCCATTTCGTGAGTGCCTCCCGAACAATATCTCAAGAAGAATCCTCAGTACCTACATCGGTCATACGTCTCTCTCGCCGTCTTGCATACATTCTGTCAGAATATAGTGCCACAAAACAGCATATAATAACAACATAGAACAATAACCCTAACAAACTTACATCCACCGAGATATGTAACAAACAATACTAAAATTATGTACAAAAATAATTGTAAAAAAAAACGCTTACATATTCTCGAAGGAATTACTATTAAAATTAAAAATCCAACCATAAAGAAAAGTGCATTTAACACCAGTACGAACATACTAAACATATTTAATAACTAAAACAACCAATTATTATTACCTCCACCCAATAATAAACATGTCCGAAACAACAATTTTCGTATCCAATTTAATAAAAGCAGATAATTTAAAACAAAAATATAAATATCCCTGAAGATGGAAGAAACTCTGACTGACGCCAAATCGGTTGGGTTTCAATTCTGGTTTGATGCACTCGGATGTCTGGTCGTACTGAGGATCTGTGTTACAGCAAAACATTACTGTCTTCGAATGGCATAATATATACTAGCCGAATTACCCGCGCTTTGCTGCATATCACAATTTTTTTGTAAGAAAATGATGATTGATTTTAAATCATTGTTATAATTTGTGGAGAAAAATTATGCATTTCAGTATTACTCAATGATCTTGTCAATATGAACACCATCTTCTGGCTTTCTCCTTCTACATTTTGGATAGGAGTCATTCCCTTTTTCAAATTTAAATTTAATTTAAATCAAAGGGAAAAAATTCAGTGGGGTTCGTGCAAAAACAGTTTCATCTGACCAATTTGAAATGTATTTGATGCAATACTTGATTGAATGAATTGATGAGCAGATTTCAACATTGATATAACATTTGAATTGTCGTAATAAATATGTATTGTAAGGCACTAACCACTGATTAGAGATTTCTTGCTCAACTTGATGTCTATATTGTCTCATTTTGATACTGCCGATGTGACCTCAATCTTCTAACTCTTCCTTCAATATTTTGGATAGGAGTCATTCCTTGTTCAAATTTAAATTTAATTTAAATCAAAAGGAAAAATATTCAGTGGGAGGTGTCCCCGGGGACCCCCTTTGATCAAAATGAAATATACTTATTCAAGTACCCCAGGAGTCATTCCCTTGTTTAAATTTCAATTAAATTTAAATCAAAGGGAAAAATTTCAGTAGATGGTTTGTGCCCCAAACCACTTGAAGAGACTTAGCGGTTGAAACTACAGTACTGTGCAGTAATATGCGGTGTTTTTACCTCATTTTATTGGATTGCTCAGCATGTTTGTTTTTTCAAAGCAGCTGCATTGAGCACTTTATTATACGTCCGTTTTTGGTATGGTATTATTTTGTGTTTTGTTATATATATATATATATATATATATATATATATATATATATATATTAAGAAATGGACAAGGTCCGACAATTTATTTATTAAAGACATTTTTTATGTTTAACGTTGTTATTTATAGATACAAGTATTTAAGCAAATGCTCTGTTTATGATAAACAGTATTAAATAACATTTACCGGCCTGAATGTCCGAGAAATTTTCATAGAAAATATTCGTTCTTTGACAGGATTCGAACCTGCATCCTATACGGAACCGTCATTTACGCTGACGTGCCTTACCTCTGTACGAGATTCATGGAAGATTGAAGTTTATAAGCAGTAAATTCGACCTTGTCTCCCGAAAAGGTTCTTTGTGGCCCAGAGGTAAGGCACGTCAGCGTAAATGACGGTTCCGTATAGGATGCAGGTTCGAATCCTGTCAAAGAACGAATATTTTCTATGAAAATTTCTCGGACATTCAGGCCGGTAAATGTTATTTAATACTGTTTACCATAAACAGAGCATTTGCTTAAATACTTGTATCTATAAATAACAACGTTAAACATAAAAAATGTCTTTAATATATATATATATATATAACAAAACACAAAATATGTTAAAATACCATATAATAATATATATATATATATATACACACACGTACGGGAGGAAATTTTACAGAAGTGAGGTAGAAGAAATTTACCCTGAAAATTTTCAAAGTTGCTCTGAAAAAAACTAGCTTTTGCCCTGGGTATTAGGGAGGTACCGCCTCCAATGCCCATGTTTCATACGCCTATATATTTACAGAGAGAGAGAGAGTGTGTGTGAGAGAGAGAGAGGGGAGCGAGAAGGAATGAGAGAGTGAGAAAAAGAGTGAGGGAGGATAATGGGTCGTTTCTTCGAGTGTCTTTCTCATTGGATCGGCTCAGTATTCTCATTGGCCGATACAGTATTCACTTTCCTCTAATTTAATGTTAAAAGTGCAACATTATTATTTAGTGCTTTATAATCGTGAATTCTGCTGACACTTGACGCTTAATCGGTGCATATTGTCAATTGCCTTGCATGTCATGTCTCGTTATTCGTTTTTCGCTATTAAACAACCGCTTATTGCGTCAGTTATTCTGCTTCTTTTACTAACAAATAAATCATGTGTCTGATATTTCATAATATATATCTTGGTGTATTCCATTTTCCCTCTTTTTTCTGCTCTCATTATCATTAGCACACCCATTTCTATTCCTTCCTTCCTTTTTATCTATCTATCTATCTATCTATCTATCTATCTATCTATCTATCTATCTATGTCTATTCATTTTCACTATTATCCACGTGATGATAGAAGTATTACGTTTGACAAAATTGCTCAAAAGATTGATGATATCCTCTCTGAACATCACTCAGCTAGCATTCATATTTATGACAACGTCAATATTCTCCACAAAGTGTGATTAGTTCACCCAAACAAAACCGATGTAAAAAGCAGATATCGTCGGAAATTCTCCATCGCTTACGAACTGCTCCAGATTTTATTCCTGACACGACGGGGCAACACGCTAACCTCCGAGACCTCTTTCTCACATCCTACCCAGAACAATGCTCTACTGAAGTATTACCACCCTTGGGAACTTCAGACCACCCACCGGCCGACTGATGCCAAACCGAAAGCATCCCTGATCTCCCATTTCATAGGACGATCATTCGATACACAAAAGCCGACAGGGAAAACTTCTGATCTTACATTGTGGAAGCTCCCCTTTCATCATTCTTCAAAAATAAAGCTTCCATAACTGCCTCTATCATTCCTGAATTAATCCTTTCTGCCATGGAAAGCCTTATTCTACAACAAAAACCGCGTAGCCAGCCGTAGTTCACACCAAAATATGCTGCAGTTATAAATTGCCGTAATCATTATTATCATCTCTATCATAGAGAAAGGTGTAGGGGGGGGGACTGTTGCTGCATTCAGAACTGCCAGCACTCATTGCAAGAGAGTTCTAGAAAATGCAAAGTCCTGTTATGAGCAGTCAGTCTAAGATTAGAAGCAAAAGACTTGGTTCCCGTGAGTTCTGGAAAATCTCGAACAAAGCGTCAATACCTAATATCATAAATAGTTATTTCATCCTGATCAGATAATGAACTTAGCAATTAAGTTTGCTACTAATTAAATGTTTGACGATAAGGACCACCTCTCCCTGGCTTCCTTCCACTCACAGAACACAAACTTCGTAATATCTCTATCCCGGCATGGGAGGTTTCAAAAGCCTTGACTCTAAGAAAGTTAGTGATTCAGGATAAAAATCCAGTAGTTGTTCTTAAGAACATTAGCCTAGAGTTATCTCTAATCTTGATTAAATTGTTTAACCGCTGCCTGAAGAAGAAATTCATCCCAAATTTATGGAAGGTGTCTGCCGTATACCCTGTTTCAAGAATGCAGGTGAGCGCTCATCCCCGTCGTAATATCGACCGATAAGTCTCCTTAGTGTTATCAGTAAACTATGACCAACCAAAACGTTGTTGATCACCTTAACAGGGATGATAGTATGGATTTCACTCTTCTAGGTCCAATGCTGATCTCTTAACTATCATGACGCACGGAATGATTTGAACACTAGGCAATAAATATATCACGTGGACGACCGCCTTATACAAGGTGTGGCGTCGGACGTTGCTACACATATTCTCCAGTTTAAAAATCTCTGAAAAAGTGTTCACAATTATCAAGTCTTTCCTAACGGGTAGATCCATGAAAATCGTTGTAAATGGCAAGTTTTCTGAAGCACATGATATGCAGGTGTTCCCAAAGGCTCTCTTCTCAATTTTACACATTTTCTGCATTATATTAACGATCTACCTAAGAACATAATCAAATCTTTTGTGAATATCTATGCAGATGATACAACAGTATATGAGTGCATCGCCAAAAACCTATATGACCAAAATCTGACAACTGATCTCTCCTCTGAACTAGCTCTAACAGCTCAATGGACGAATAACTGGCTTGTAACATTTAATACAACAAAAACCAAGCGACTATCGCTCCACCATCACTGAGCAGACTTTGAATTTTCGCCTATCAAGATTAACAAGGAGGTTCCTTGCCTTGAACGCCCATTGGGTCTCAAGTTCACCCCAGACCCCAAGTGGAACTCGTGTTGGGAAAATGGTCGGCTCCAATAAGTACCTGACACCCTCTGCTGTGTTCTATCTTTACAAGATGCAGACCAAATCTAAAATGTAGAGTGAACCGTTGTTGCAGAATTTTATATTGTCCGGATGAAAATAAGTTACCACTATGTTACGGGTATCATCTCTTTGGCTTCGAGGTATATGGACATTTATATAGTAAATGTTTATATTCTTCTGGAATGTTTGTTACGCAAACAGTATTGGCGAACTCATGTGAGTCCGAGTAAAAATAATAACACACAACAATAAATTTAAACAAACGACATTGTATGTTATTAACAAAATAAATTGCATGCGTACACAACTGTAATAAAAAGGAAAACATTGAAACTAGCTATAAGAATGTGATTGTTCTGTGTGTGTGTGTGTGTGTGTGTGTGTGTGTGTGTGTGTGTGTGTGTGTGTGTGAAACAAGCGTGTGTGTATGTGCAAGATTTAAAAAGTCAACAATGGACTAAGGAAGCGAATGCGCACCGTCGGCAGCGTTCTTTATCTACGTTCGACTATATCTGGAATAAGAGAAAAAAAGAGAAAGAGAGAATATGATTGCCTTTTTATAGACTTCAAGTGCGCTCTTTAACGCGTTATCTATCCTACATATCCTCATAAACTGCATTTCTTACCTCCCCGTCTTAGCGCTCTTACAACAACCTCATTCAGTAAACCTCTACTTTGAGGCCTTGTATTTTTTTTAAAAAAAAAGACAACTGAACTTTTGCCGTTAGCGTCACAAGAATATATCAGAGAAATAATCGGGTATGTCTCTTTACCTGGACAAATTTTAAAACTATAGTTTTACTGTCATTTTTAGTATTTCGAACTACTCCAGGGTGGGGGGACAGTTCTGTGTGTCATGCCTCTTCCGGGTGTCTCAGTTATCGCCTTTTAACTCAACACTCCAAGTTTTTTGTTCACCAATGCAGTAGCCAGGTATTGAACTCACAACTCGGGTCAAGTCAATGAATCCAACCAACGATTTTATCTACTGAGCTATGTGTCCTTCAGGAGATCTGCTTATCGATTTTGAGCCCTTATAAACTTAATGTCTCAGTAACTGTTTTTTAACAGAGCTCATATTGCAATTTTTGGAGCGTACAACGGTCGATACGTCGTGAATATGGCAAGAGAACAACAGTCCGAACAAGGTAAATAATGTAAATAATTGTTTAGAATCTAAACTTTAGATTATGCACAAATTTTTACATCTGAAATGTTAATTTTTATATTTTTCACATTTTTTAATATTTTCTAAAATTAATTTTTTATACAACAGTTGGACAACTTTGTAGTTGAGTTTTATATAACATGCATATTACGTTCTTTAAAATTGTTTTTTAATTTCATATTAAGACAGGTAGCGGTCTTTGGATGAAAATCACATTTTTCTTGTTCCAACCCTACCATATTGAGTTAAATATGCCATGCATTTATTAGTTTCGATCGTCAGTGATTGTGAGTTTGATTTCACCGGATACGTCAGCCATTTAAGCAATCAGTGGTTCGAATCACTGAGCTCTTACAGAGGAATCTAAAAGCGAATGTTTAATGATGTTCACTTGCGTGACTGAACGGAAAATTGAGCATCCATTGTATTACCGTTACACCCTGAATAAAAAATTAAAATCTCGTCGTGATTCATGAACCTTTTAATCACGGCTATAAATAAAACAGTTGGTGGGCCGTAATACGGGGTCATCGTCTGACTGCTGTGAAGAACAAATTATGTGATCATCTTTGGCCAATCGAAAAGTACAACAAACTAACAAAATGAATGCTTCTGCGATTCCTCAAAGAACATATGAATACTCCGAATTTCACATTTAATCAGTTTTTTTTTTTCTGATAACCCCTCCCATACGTAAGCCACAGGTAGTAAGTAGTTCCTACCACAAGTCTCACAGATAATTAATACATTTTTGTCCCTATCAAGTCAGTATTTCCTCTTCCCCTTTCTCTTCTTTCTTTATTTGCCTTACCACGCTAGCGTATGTAACAGTTAACCAAGAAAATGACAGCGCTTGAGAGAAAAATTTTCTTTGGGACATTTTTTCTGCGTTGCTTAAAATGAACTTAATGCGACGCTTGGAGGAAAAATATCTTGGTTTTCTCCCCTCTCCAAGACCCACACTGTGCATTAGAATATCATATTATCATAATAAGACAGCAATGAATTTCAAAAGGGAATCACGACTGAAAGCATTTTATATATAACACTAAAATACGAAGATGAAGAGACAAAGAGGAAAATTTATTAACGACGCGTTTCGGCGAGTGCGTCTGCTTTTTTGGCTCCTCATGTTTAAATTCTAACCCGAGGAAGCCAAAGAGAAAAAATGCTCACGGTAAAACGCGTCGTTAATAAATTTTCCCCTTTGTCTTATCATCTTCATTTTTGTTTTGGATATTGTTATACATCCTACCATAACGCTAGAATAGAATTAGAACACTTTTCTTATAGATCGTAAGTCATGGCGTCTTTCGAACACGCGGGTACGGTATGATTAGTTCTAAAATTACTTTCTTTAGTTGAATTTTTACCGGAATTAATGTACGGAGCGTATGCGCAGAAGACATATTTACACATTTCTCTCATCGATACAGAAATGTGAACTTCCGGATAGATTCTCCGGCGAAGTTCCACAACATAAACATAATTAAACAGATATACTGCTAAGTGTTCGATTACACACGACACACATATTATACACTGACATCTTGGAAACTGAT